AAAGAATTAAGAGAACAGACGTGTCACTTTTTTCATTCCATAATATTTTTCTTATTATTGTTTCATTAAGTAAAAGTATTGTTTTTATCTTGAAATGAAGTTTATGGAGATCTTGCTTTCGATCGACTGGTACACAACCGTGTCATCTGTTCTTGCTAAACTAACGTCAACCATTTAATTCAATTATTGGTACTTACTGCTTATCTCCATGGATAAGAATATCATATTAAAATAGACAAAAGATGGACGACTGAATAGTCAAAAGTCAAATTACCTCGGATAATTGATGAATAAATGAATGAAAACAATTAGATAAATTGATTATGAACAAAAATAACATTTATTTTTATTTGCAATAAATTGCAATTATTCTATATTATATCTAAAGTCACGTATACGATTCACGTTTCATGTGATGCAAGTGTAATAAAAATGTCTTTTTATGATCATTTTGATTGACATCGTGCAGTAATCATCAATGTGTGGGCTTAAGCAAATAACATGAAAATTTCACTAGTACTTTCAATATCGTATTCATAACCGCAGCTAACCTTGTACAAGTTGTACAGCTCCTCGTTTAAGTTTGGATATAAAAGTTTTAAAGTACAGATCAAGACAGATTGATTTAAATTTCCTGGAAAGACTAAATAATGAGAATTTGGCTTTTAATCACAACATTTGCAGTAATTTTGATTACTGTGTCTGGACTTATTGATTGTCCACTTTGCACAGATAATCCAGGATATACGACCGACAGCGATTGTACTTGTTCTGGAAATAAAGTCAGGCGTGAGCGAGATGGTTCTGAAGTAGGCATTTTAGGATTTCATAAAATATATTGTTGTCGATCAAAAACAAAAAAATGTGTAGAAACTGGAACTCCATAAGAAACTTTTCTGTTTCATTATTTTTGCAAGTTTAAATTTTATCTTGTCATAAATGTAAATGAAGAAATAAAATAAATTCGTGTGTGACAGTTTTTAATCAATACAAACATAATTCAATCTTTTATTTATTTTTTATGAGTTATAACAAGGATCTCGGAGTAAGGCTCAGATGGGAAGATGATCAGGAGGGGAGGGCATGTTTTTTAAGTAACTGAGGGTGAGGCTACGGGAGAAAAGGGTGTAGAAATGTTGAAATTGAATATTTGCATACACTGTATGAATGTATTCTGGAGAAACACGCATAAGAAATATGTAAAGAATTGTGAGTTGTCAGTTTTGTTTTGAAAGAATTAAGAGAACAGACGTGTCAGTTATCATTCTATAACATTTTTTAAATTATTATCTGAAAGTTTTCAAATTACAGAATTCTACAATGAAAATCTTATTATTGATTTCATTATTGGCTGCAATTGTTATTGCTGTTAGTGGACGTGAATGTCCACTTTGTAAGGATGATCCTGGAACTGCTGCTCCTTGTACCTGTTCTGGAAATAAAATTCCAAATGGTTGTGGTGGTCTTCCTCCTCCAGGAGTTTGCATTATAGCACAAAACTGTTGCGAATTTCCCAAAGCAAGAATATGTCAACAAGTGTAATAAAAAAATAAAATAAACTCAGATTAAACAAAATCTGAGACATACTAAATAACTCTTTTACATAATACTTTAGGAATC